GCCAACGCCAGCGTGTACAAGGGCAAGAGGTGCCGCATGGAGTCCTGCTTCGACGTGGCGCTCTGCCAGCGCACCGGCTTCAGGGTCTACGTGTACCCGCAGCAGAAGGGCGAGAAGATCGCCGAGAGCTACCAGAACATCCTGGCCGCTATCGAGGGCTCGCGCTTCTACACCTCGGACCCCAGCCAGGCCTGCCTCTTCGTGCTCAGCCTGGACACGCTGGACCGGGACCAGCTGTCCCCGCAGTACGTGCACAACCTGCGCGCCAAGGTTCAGGGCCTGCACCTGTGGAACAACGGCAGGAACCACCTGATCTTCAACCTCTACTCCGGCACCTGGCCCGACTACACCGAGGACGTGGGCTTCGACATCGGGCAGGCCATGCTGGCCAAGGCCAGCATCAGCACCGAGACCTTCCGGCCCCGCTTCGACGTGTCCATCCCGCTCTTCTCCAAGGACCACCCCAGGACAGGCGGGGAGAAGGGGTCGCTGCGGTTTAACACGATCCCTCCTCTCAGGAAGTACATGCTGGTCTTCAAGGGGAAGAGGTAGCTCACGGGGATCGGCTCCGACCCCCGGCATGCCTTATACCACGTGACACCAGGAAGGCCTTATACCACGTCCACAACGGGGAGGACGTTGTCCTCCTGACCACCTGCAAGCATGGCAAGGACTGGCAAAAGCACAAGGACTCGCGCTGCGACAGGGACAACAGCGAGTACGAGAAGTAAGTGAGCCCCTTGTCTGTGCCAGCCGCTGGCCTCCACGTGCTCGCAGCTGGGTGATGCCGGCAGGCCACAGGTGGCGTGGGTGTAGCCCCCCTTCCCTGGGAGAGTCCTGCTTGGTGCCTGCAGAGCTGTACAGGGCAGATTGGGGTTGGGGTTCCCCTCCGTGTCGCTGTCCCAGGAGCTGAGCCATGGGAGTGGAGGCAGACTAAGCTGCTGGGGGGGGTTGAGGCTCTATCTGTGCAAGGCTGGTGACCTGGGGAGCATTTGCATGCCTGCTGCCAGGCGAGGAGGTGGCTGCAGCAATAATCCCTTCCTCCCTTCCCAGTCCTGAAGTTCTCTACGTAGGGCAAAGTTGGAGGGGAACTGTTGGCAGGTGGGGGTGGCAGGCTGGGTACTGAGTGTGCCTCTTTCCAGGAACACTTGCCAGGTGGTCACTGCTAAGTGGGTGCTGGCCATATCCCGCAGTCTTGCATCAAGTGACCACAAAACCCAGTAGAGGAGACAGACTCCACTGACTGACTCAAGTCCCACATATTCTTTTATGATGGTGACAACTCTTTCCAGGGGTGCAAATAGATTCAGTTCATCCTGTAACACTGAGAGAGAGAGAGATGTATATATGGTGCTCCCTTTATGCTGCCACTGAAGGTGAGTTTAGCCAAGAACTTCTGAAAGACTCAATAACTCCCTCCCTCCCTTGCAGTCTTGCAGTTTGTATGTGTAGCTGCTGAAAACATCGCTTTACAGGCACTGCCGCTGCGGAAGGGCAGTGCTCATTAGTCTGCTTGAAACTGCTCAGTTAATTTAAATGCTGACCACTGCTCTGTTTGTTGCAGAGTAGTTATTCTCATGCAAAAGCTGCATAGTGCGTTTCCATGTTACAGAAGTTTAAAAAAATGAATTAGAGCAGCTTTATATTGCTGAGTTAGTACAGCTGCATCAGGAATTGCCAAAGGTTTGCAATGCCTAGTGAAATACTACGTGGAAGGAAAACTAATCCTGGAAGAGTAGTGAAGAAACTATGCAAGTGTTAATACCCACCGAAGTTTCTAAGTGGCTTCTAATTTCCCACGCAATCCTTAGCCACAGAACTGTGGTAACGCTGCAGCATAAGAAAGCTGGATCTTTATCCGCCTTCTGCTTTTTCTTAGGTCACCCTGGGGTGGGGTGGGAAGCAACAAAAATAATTGTTAAGCTTTCAATTCCATTCATTTCTGAGTACAGAAAATTAACGATTAAATTTGCAATATGATCCATATGCAAAAACTCAGTATAAAGCCTAAGAGTATGCTGAAGTCAAATTACCTTTACATTTTGCTCAGGAGCTGGGATATCTTTTAAACAGTGGATAGTAACTGATGATCTTCCTTTGAACAGAATATTTAAAGGGACCTACTGAGAGTGTAGTGTTTGAGAGAGACAGAGAGAACCCACTATAGCCACTCAAGACTGTCTTTACTTGGGATATATTCAAGTTACCTGGCTTAGTCTAAACTTTTTGCATCCTTTAGCCACCCTACTGAGTTCTGCAGAATGCAGTGTGATATAAAGCTTTCTTTTAGATTCTGTAAGAACAAATAGACAAAAATATCAGACAGAAGTTTGACTCTAGGGAACTTGAATACTTGTTACTTAAAATATCTATGTAGTTTATCCTCACTAAAGAGTGCACAGTGCAAACAAAGGAATATTAATCCATGAGGGGTGTAGTGCGTCTTATCCCTAAGAAACAAGAGTCACTATGCCACTAAAATGCAGGCATAGCTGGGGTAGAGTGCTGAACCCATTTATTAATGTCTAGCAGTGCCATGCAGTAGGTGGAGACAGGAAGTGAAGATGATAATCTTAGTAATTTAAACCTGTTCAACTGCAGTTATGGTCAGCATACTGGGACTAAGCTCACTTCTGTGAATGCCTGTAAACCGTATAAAGCCATAATTTGGAAGACAGCACCTGCCACAGCACATTGCTGTCCCTTACTGCCATGCTGAGGCATTGATTCAGGGCTGATTTATAGCAAAGTGTGCCACCTACCGATACACCAGTACCACTTCCTGTAACATCTTGGGTTTTCCTTCTCTTCCTATTCCAGTACTGCCTGTGCCACACTGCTCAGCTCATGAAATCTGCCAAGGTCATGTCCTGAGAGGTGTGTGACTACAGTCAGCTGGTGGCATTTCTTATATATGTATATCTAATGCATATATGTGAGGGTTGTAAAAAATAGTCCTCAGCTAACTGTCTGAAACTTTCCTTTGAAATATGATGTTGCACAAGGCTGGATTAGTTGCAGAAGAAATGTCTTAAAAGGGTTTAAAAGACTAGGCTCATGCTCAATCTAAATTCACTTCACAGATTTTTTGATGTGAGCAGAGCTACTTTTACTTGTGCATTTTTTAATTTGATTAAGCAACATGTCCTCGTGGTTTTAAAATGATGTGCATTCTCCAAGATTTGTGCATTAGAAATGGATTTACTTGTCCATATGGAGTTGGACAAGGCAAATATTTCACTCTCTCTGTCTTCTGTGCCAATTTTTCTTTAATTTACGGTGGCATTTATACTACCTTGTTTTCATGTGATAGACGGGAGTGTGGTTCTTCTGCATACAGTATACTGGCCCAGAAGTATTGATTCTTGCAAGGTGAATTGTGAATGATTTTTCTTTTTAGCTTGGCTACAGGGGAAAACCATATGAAGCCAGATAAACTCAATGATCAGATTTTAAAACTTGATAAACTCATATCAACAGAGTAAGGTTATGATCCATTGCCTTTATTTCTGATGTACAGTGTCAATTATTTGCAATGAAATTGTGTCTAGAGAGAATTGTTTTCTGTCTGGCTCAAACATGAACTGCATTTCTGCAGGATCCAACTTTCCTTCCACCCTCTCTAGGAAATCAGAAAAGATAAGAAAAATGACTTCTCTACCTGTATAAAGGGAAAGTGTGCCATCCTTTCAAAGAAGGACATATGTGGCTGTCTACACAAGTTGTATTAAGAGATCCAGCTGTATGGTGGAGCTAATTAATTTTCATTAGAGTTATGCATCTCAGCAGATAAAGCTGATGCAGACTAAAATGAATTGCATTATCATAATTAGACTGCTTTGAAACGTGGTTTTAAAAAAATACTTTGTGTGTTATGCCCCTGACTCCCTTTATCATGGATGGTTTATGTAGTCAGGTGGTAGAACCACTGGGTTTTTAAAATTCCTTTGCATTAGAGTTTTTGTGTTCTTGCTTGTATTTTAGCTTCACACTTCCCAGTTTTGAAAAAGATTAAGCCAATAAACCAGTCATTGACACTTAAATACAGGTTGAACAAAGGGTTATGTGCACATGCACGTGCATACACGTGTGCACACACGCACACACACGTGTTTCCAATTGCTTTTTTGGGAAGCAGTTGACTCTTGGTGCTGTCAGAAAAAAACCAATACATTCATACTGTTTGCCTACCCTAATCCAACTAAATACTTTCAAGATATTTGTCCCAAACCTGAAATAATTTAGGGAGAAATATAGCAATGTGTATAACCCATATGCTGCCTTGGTAAAGGCTATAAATAGCCCTGGTTTTGGAAAATGGAGATTCTGGTAATGAGTGGAATCAGAAGTTCAGGACCTGGTCCAAATCTTATTGAAATCAGTAGGAGGATTTCCATTGACAACACTGGACCAGTGTATTAATCTCCAACCAGTGGTAAAAATCTCCTAAACAGAGTAGCTGAAATTAATGATGGAAACCGCACAAATGAAAAAAAATCTGTATGCTGGCTAGGAGAGATGGATCCAGAATAGATTTAGAGAAATCTTGGTGCTCTCTTGGCTATATAGAAAGAGGTAGTTAGCCATGTTAGTCTGGAGTCATGCAGAAGACAGGGTATATATGCACCTTTACAGACTGACTGAATCGTCTATAATTTATAGCTGTATAATTTAAATATACCTCTGATTTAGTTAGTCTAAAACGGCACAAATCTACCCTGTTTTTTGCTTGGCTATATAAACCTATCAGAAGAGAACGCCACATAAATGCAGCTCAACATCCTGCTCGCATCTGTTGTATTCCTCAACCAGTCAATATCTAGATACAGGCTGGATTGTGACCCAGACTCGAAATGAGAAATACAGAAAAAATGATTCATGCATTGATGGATTAATTCTACCAAATTCATATGGAAGATCAATAATTTGGAGCCTAATAAAAGTGGTGTACCCTAAAAGAGGCATTTTTGAGAGGTATGTAACTACACTTGTTTTTTTTTCCATATGTCTACATGGAATATAGAAGCTACAGAACACAGTATAACTAGATGTCAGTAAAAAGTATCTATAAATGTGTGATATTGGTATAAGTCTATACTATCAAACAACGTAGGTGTGTGGTTCTGATAGCTTAGTGGATTCCACATGACCAGGGAAGGCCCACACACTTCCACTCTTTTTGGGATACTGTAGGCAGAGAGGCTGTTAGCTATGTTGGGCAGAAGGTAGGGTACGGTGGTACCTTATGTTTTTTTTAAAGTGACGCTTAATATGCACTAGCATATTTTAATGCGCATTAATTAAATAGTATGGGATATTTTTACATGTGCTGTGGGATGTGGTGCTGGGCATTTTAATTAGTGAGTCATGCTAATTAAAAGCACCTGTGTGTCACTGTATTAGCGTCCCTGCCTGTCCCTGCGCTGAAAAAAATGGCGGCAGGGCACTTTGAACTAAAGCTCATCAAACGTGTTTTATTTCAAAGTGCCCATCACCGTTTTTTCAGCGTGGGGATGCTGATGCACGTGATGTGGATGGCTGCCAGAGAGCATCTGTTTCCATGCTCCAGCGTGTCAGACTAGGCCCCCATGTCTATAGGAGCCGATCAAGACTAACTGGTTCAGAGGGTCATGAGTTTTCATAGGCAACAGCTATAAATGGACCTGCAGAAAAGATGCTATGAATGGACTTTGTGCAAGACCATTCATAGCATCTGATGGGATACCA